TCCGCCGCGAGGGCGTCGCTACGCCAGACGCAGCGGGAGACGGCGCGCAGCGCGATGATTCGGCCACCATCCGCGCGGGGATCTCGATAAGATATCGGAACCCCATGTAGCTCGCTACGCACTTGGCGGGGAGCTTCGACCATCGAGCCCTTCGCGCATCGCCATGGGTAAACCATTGGGGAACGACCAAACTGAGCAGAACCCAGCAGCTGTTGGAGTACAACGGGGTCCCGAACGACCTGCTCTGGAATGCTCGCACCTGGATCTTGTCGAGCTCGACCTCGAAGGAAGATGGCGACGTGCGCGTGGTCGCCCAGCCTGGGGTCCGAGATGGCGACGGCGTCGATGTCCACTTCAACGAGCGCATAAATGTGCAGCAAGTAGCGGGCAGGGGCCCCAATGGAGACCCGGTCAAACGTAGCCGCCGCTGCCGCATCCCTGCAATCGCGCGCGGGGCAATCCGTAGAGATCTCCGTGACCATGGTAAGCAATGGCCCCCAACAAGGCTGGAGTGCACCAGGTGTTGGATGGACAACGCAATCTTCCTCTGCGGGGTTGGCGTGGCAACGTTCAGGGACAGCCCTGCCATTGAAGCCACCCGCTGCAATAAAGGCCCTTCGCCTTGGATCCTGCGCATTCCAGTTCACCAACTCTCGCAATCTAGCTTGAATCTTTGTTTTGCTGGTAATATCGACCTCGAAATTGTGAGCGCCGAACAGTTGCATCGCGTAGTAACCCTCAAGGCCTGAGGTGGCGATCAGAGAGGCGCGCAAGGACAGCGAACCTCGTGCCGAAACTTGGCCATTGGGGTTATCTTACCCGCGTCGGTCCACCGGCACAAGGAATGCAGCACCGCCAGCCTTTTGGGAGAAACGGGTACCGAATACCTTGAGTCGATGGTGACCATCTCCAGTGAAATAGACCACGTAGGTGTATCCACGCCTGCGAATGTCTGTCCAGAAGCAGCCTCCGGCTGTGATTTGCCAATGCTGAAGCGCGCGATCATCGAGTGACCACCTGCAGTTTGGGGGATTCCTTAGCACCTTGGACCTCGATGACCACAATGGGGATCGCGATGATGGTGGCGATGCCCTTTGACTCCGGCGCAGATGTTGTGGTCGGGGTGCGCTTCTTGAGCGATGCGCTGCAACCGTTTCGTTTGCAATTCCAATCGCACTTGTGCTGGGCTCTTGTCGACGGTGACGTACATGGGAGTGCTGGTGCCAGCCGTGTCCACGGTGCGGAATGATATAAAGCCTGCTGGTGTTCTGAGAGCACGGGAGAGGGCCATGCCGCGGGCTGGGGCGGCAGCCCCTCCCAGGATATGAAGATGACAGATCAGCAGGCACGCCCGAAGCATTGATCCATTATGCCAGCGCTGCTGTGACTGCCTGAAAGGCGATGGCCCGCGGGGCACCGATACTGATCAATGTGGGATCTGGAATTCGATTTTCTCCCATTCAGCCAACTTGCGGACGACGGAAGATGCCAATGCCACCGTTTGCTCCATAGCTTGTAACTGTCGCCACATTCGCTTTTGATCGGCTTCCGCGCGTCCAGAAGGTCGAGAATGTTCTTCTCGTGCAGCTCCAGGTGCGCTGCATTGTGCCTACTGGATGAGAGGAGCTCCTGTACGTGGGGCTGCTGTCGCAGAGAGTTCGGCCGTCGCCGCCGCGATCTGAGATTTACCCAGCGCCGCCAGCCTCTGTTCAAGATCCACAAGATCGCTAGGATGAGCGGCACGATGAGCAGGGCGTGTAGCCGTGCCTTCCACATCAACAGGGAGAGCACACAAAGCACCACCTTCGCCAGCAACAGCAATTTGCGATGTTGGAAAAGTAGCGGGGACATCCCATTCTTGTAGCAAGCCAGCCTGAGCTCGCGGAGAAAGAAGAAACATTTGCGGCCCAGCAGCTGCGGCAGGTCCGCCATTTGCACCAGCATGTCCAACATGACCAGGTGCGGTATTTGCTCAGCTATGTGCGCGCCAGGTGTCATGTTGAGAACGAGGGTCTGGCCGTGCTGAAGATGCACCTGCTCGGCGTGTCGCAGAGCGTTCGTCATGTTCTTGCCTGTCATTGCGTTGGTCTCTTTTTCGGACTCGGTCTTCAGAGTGTCGATCTCGGTCTTCACAACGGTCTCTGTCACGCCTGTCACGATGCCGATCCCTGCGAGGACGCCTCGGAGATCCACTGCGTTCGCCGCCACTGCGGGTCTTGGAATAACTAGCATCTGGGCGTCGTCGATCACGGAGAGGTGAATGACGTCTGCGAGTGTCATTGGAGGGATGCTGTGTTCCGTCACTGGAGGCCATGGGAACTTGAAGCTGCGATGTTTCCGACAGTGCGATCCGCTTCTGCACCGTCGAGCCGTACTTGAGGCGGTCGACCTGGACGAACGTGAACGAGCGGAGCGAGCGATGAGGCTGCCTACTGTCGAGCAACCAAGAAGACTGCACAGATATGGATGCCAGCGAAGCTGGACTTGGGATATGTAGCGCCTGCGGTAGAACAGGCCTTAGATATGAAGGGAAACTGGGTTGGATTGTTGACTGGGGGCCTACCCCGCTGAGGCAAGGAGTTTGACACCATTTTGGCCTTGAGCCAAAATGGCTACGGGAGGAAAAGGAGGAGGAGGAGGAGCAGGAGGAGGAGGAGGAGGTTGTTGTTAAATGGTGTTGTTGTACTGCGAGTGCGATCTGCGTCCTTGTTGTTTGTATTCCACTCGCAGCGGGAAACACATCAGCGCTGCATTCGCCCATGCTGGGGCAACTGAGCAAGAGGAGGAAGGCCTCCCCAGAGCCGCCCTTCTCCACGACTCCCTGAAGCAGCCGTTCGACGCGGGGGTACCCCCGTGCGTATCTTTGATCTGGCAGGCCCCCCCTCTCCCAGACATATGGCATCTCGTTATTTTCGAGACGCGGGCCCCCGACCTCTCGACCACCTGAGGCCCAGCAAGGGCCCTGCGAGAGACCGACGCTAACAACTGGCAGGCTCCCCCCCTCTGCAAGCTCCCTGTCTTGAAGGAACGAAGAGCTGCGTAAACAGAAACCTTCGGAGCTCCGCGCGGATGTCTCGGAGCGGCGCTGGACCCCCCTCTCCCTGGCGCACGGAGCGCGCCAAAAGGGGGGCCGCCGGGGGGGGGGCACAACACCGGGCCGAGACATCCGCGCGCTCCGCGCGCCAGGGGCGGCGCCGGAGGCGCAGACCGTGGGCCCAGCACGGGTCCGAGAACTCCGCGCGGAGCGCCAAAAGTTTCTGCTCATACAGTGTTCTCTGCTCCGATTTGAGCAGGCACCGACCGTCCCGGCATGCCTATAGTCCTACCACGAAATGTTCTTAGAACCCAGAAATGTTCTTAGAACAAAAACTACGTCCTTAGAACATGCGCCCGATGTGGCAAAACAAGACAGACTCTGCCAGAAATGTTCGAATAACCTTTCGTGGAAACCACGAAAGGTTCGTCGAACATTGTTTGGTAGGGCGACAGGCGAGCCAGGACGCCTCGCCACTGCTTGATCGATGGGGTCGACGTTGCGACACCATCCGGCTGTTTGAGGGCCTGCCGCGTGCGCAGAGGCCTGCCGCGTGCGCGGCGGAGCGGCGCGCCGCCCCGCCCGCGGGCGGCGCCCCTCCCATGGGGGCACCCCGGCAGCTGCCCGGCGCCGTGCGCCCCCCGCTCTCGGCACCCTCGCCGAGAGATCGCGCCGCCGTCCCGGCCGCCGCGGTGCCCGGAGGCCCAGGCTCGGCGAGTGGGGGTCGATGCGAGGGGAACAAACAGTCACAGAAGCATGAAAACTCGGAGGTCCGCGCGGATTTCTCGGTCCCTCCCTGGCGCGCGGAGCGCGCCAGGGGCGGCGCCGGAGGCGCCGCCAGGAGGCCCCAGCGCCGATCCGAGAAATCTGCACGGACCTCCGAGTTGTTATGTTTGTGCCACTCTTTGTTCCCCTAGATGCGTCCCCCCCTGGGCCTATATACCCCCATGACGTCGCCCCTCGCAGGAGGTTCCCCCGTGCCCCTGACTGGACAAGGGCGCTCCACTGCTCGCAGAATCACTGCTCGCAAATGCCCTGAATCCGCCGTGGGGGACTCACGATACATATACAGGGTGGGAGACATATATATATATATATATATATATATATTGTTTTTTCTCGGACGCCTGCGAGTGGGCACTTTGCGAGTCGTGGAACGCGCTCGGTGACTGACGCCCCCCCCTGGGGCCGAGCAGCGCCCCAGCGAGTTGCTGCGAAACAGCCGCCGGCGCTCCTCCGCCCCGCGCCTCTCCAGGGCGGCCGCCTGGGCGGGCACAGCGCCCGATCGTCGCCGCCGCCGCCACCAACGTCCTCGCTGCCGCCGCTGTCCTCGCCGTCGTCTGCCAGATCGAGCGCGCGTGCGCGCGGATGTCTTCGTCGTCGCCGCCGTCGCGGCCCGCGTCATTCGAAGAGGGCGCGATTCACCCAACCAACACACACCCAGTCAAAGCTACGCCGTGGCATCCACAAACGAACGTGCTATACATACGTCGTGTGCCAGGACAACTATAGGTGTGCTCCTCGGTGGGTGTCAACAGAATCAAGGCACCTTGGCCGAATGATATTTCCGACAGCCCGTCATGAGATAGCTGGGCATCATGCGGCACCAAGAGACGCACGTGACGTCGTGGGGCGCACGCGAGCTATCATGTCAAAAAGGGTCAGAATGGACGTATTTTGAGAGGGGGCATGGGATTCCGGGGTTAAGCTGTAGGACATATAAAAGTGAGGTCGGAACTGTTACATGACATGGGACAGAATTTCGCGAATTGAGAGGCTACGAATTACAGATGTTCAGGAACATCTGGAGGGCTACGTGACAAGAACAATGCAGAGGTCGAGCAGAGCAAAACCGTTGGGATCGTTGGAATGGTTACGAGGCTGTCGACGAGAGCAAAGCTGTAAGACTTAGAGGAGTACGGGCCCAAGCCGCACCAGCGCTGGGGCTCAAGCGGGGGGCGCAGGCCCTGGCACGGCCCACGCTTGTGAGGAAGCTGTCGCAAGCGCCGAAGAGCTCGTCTGGGGTCTTCCGGCCATGCCCCGCCTGCGCGGCGAGGAGCTGTGTGTATGCAGGCGGCGCGGCAACTTCGGTGCACGTGCCAACATGGAACGTGGGCGTAGCACATGATTACAGCTGGGAGGACGAGGAGGATGCTATAAGAAGTGCCAGTACCAACGGTCGCTGGAGACACCAAAGGAATAAGGAACACAACACCCTAGTGCATGAACGAGTACCACTCCGAAACGGAACGACTCGAATTCCAGGAGGCCCGGACACCAAGTCGAACCGACCCGAGAAACGATGGTCCATCATGCATACGGAATGACTACTGAGCCAAAGCCGGTAAAATCGCCAGATCACAGCATGAGCACTCGCCTCGAGAAGTAGGCAACTAAGGACGAGGCAGTGATGATGAGCGAGGTGGCCAATTCGGAGAGGATAAGGTTCGGGACGCGCGTGAAGAGCAAACCATGCAATCTGACTGCCAATGTTGGCCCCCGCCTGGCCAGCCCCTAGGTACCCCTGGTCACCCCCGCGCGATTTGAACTTCGGTGCGTATGCAGTCGTGCAACGTGTTGGAGTCGTGTGCTGGAGATGGCGACGACGTCGGTGACCACTGCGGCGAAGACGAATCGTGACAGCACCAGGTCCGCTCCTGTGCTCTAAGCATGTAGGGGCGTCCTCGAATACCTGCTGTCTGGTTGGGTTCCTGCCAGGAAGCTGGAAACACGCATGGCTGGAGTCACATTCGGAACATGTGGGCGATGATCGAAAACGGGTCTTACGCAGTATGGCACAGCGACCTTACGCCGCGGCTTACGCGGGCCGCCAGCCCGGCACGCTGCATTGGGAACGAGGGCGACTCCGCGCGAGCTTACGCGGGCAACTTGCGCGCGAATGTCGGCGAAGGCGAACCCTGTTTTTTTTTGCGCCGCTCATATGGAGGCCATCTGCCTCCTCCTCCTCCTCGTCCTCCTCCTCCTCCTCCTCGTCCTCCTCCTCCTCCTCCTCCTCTTCCTCCTCCTCCACCGTGCCTCCTCCTACTCCTCCTCCTCCTCCTCCTCCTCCTCGTCCTCCTCCTCCTCCACCACCGTGCCTGGCCATGCGAAAGCCGAGGGCTGCGGCAACCTGCGGCAACACGTCGTTACAGCGCTCGCCCAGGCTGGCAACGACATATTACCAGCCTCGAACTCATCCCTATCCCTAAGATTGACACGCCAAAATGCGATGACAATCTTAGGGATTCGCCCTCAAACAATAAGGGAATCCCTCAGATTGGCATCGTGATGAGGAGATGCCCAGCATAGGGATAGGGATATGTTCCAGGCTGGTGAACAGAGGCATCCGGCCTCCTGGTGGCTTTCTGAGGGCGGCCCCCTCTCCCCATTGCAATAGGCGTGCCGAAAAAAAGCGCCCCTCGGTCTTGCCCCTCACCAGAAGCCCGAGTCAGAACGGCTCCAGCCAGACTGCGGGCAGCTTGCTGAATAGTACTGGTATCGGGGAGCCTTAAGACTCGGGTACGGGGGACTCCGGTTGGCCTGACGGGGCCACCATAAAAATGATGAGACACAATCTGAAATTTGGCGCGAGCCACCGCTGCAACTATCCCACGAAAACTGAACCGTCAAAATCCAGGACGCGCACGTCAAAAAACGTCGGCAAACCCGAATCCTGGCTTACTCGAGACTTACGTTTCCCCGATTAATGTTTGAGGACCGACCGTCCCGGCATTCCTATAGGCTTACCACGGGATGTTCTTAGAACCCCCAACATGTTCTGAAAACACAAACCAATGTTCGTAGACCATAACCCCGATGTGTCAAAACAAGACAGCCCCAGCCAGAAGTGTTCTAAGAACATTTCGCGGAGACCACGAAAGGTTCGTAGAACATTGTTTGGTAGGCCTATGGGCACGCCAGGACGCGTCGCCACTGTTTGACATGTGGCAACAACCTGACCATGCCGATGATCGCAATTTGGGGAACAGCGGCCCCACCGATCGGGGACCGTGGCGCCCCTGACAGCGCCGATCGCGACGAACAGTGCGATTCCGGGCCGGGGAGAAGTCAGCAAAGCGACCTGTGTGACGATTGGACGACGGGCGGCAGCCTGTGACGCGGACGGCGAGCGTGGCAGGACTGTTTCGCCCCTGCGCTCCAAGTCCGGCTGACGCAATCGTGAAGCTCCTCGTCGAGCCCGGGGCGCGTCGCCTTGGCGCCGTTGATCCACCCGCTCAGGGGTTTGACGCCGTAGGGTTCAGGCTGGTAGATGACACAGTACGGGTTGAGCAGCGCGGGCACTTGGCTGAATGAGCTTTTGGCCATGACCAAGACCTGCACAGAGGCGAAGCATGCCCAGTCTTCCAGTGGATCGCTGTCTAAATGTACGGTCATGTTTCTGTCCAAATACCCTTGGAAATCTGAGCGAGCCCACTGACCCTCTGTGGAACTGAACACGTGCACATCCGCATCTGGCAGGAGCTTGCGGATTCGGTCGACGTGGGCATAGTACCAGGAGTCTGGGGAAAATCTGCCTTTGTGCTTCTCGTTGTTGACCACGTCGCCTCGCCGAATGTGTAGCGCAACTCGTGGCGCCCCCGGCTTCGAGAATTTCTGCGATCGCGCCAAGCGCGACTCCACGAAGGGCCTGGTCTGCGCCCGGAGCGCCTGGATGAAGCTCGGAGTCAGGTACGAATCTATACCGACCTCCCCCATGCTCTCCACCTGCCGGAAGATGTGAAACATCAGGCCGTCGTGCTTGAGCCACACCTTCGATCTGGCCCTGAGCGTCTCGCTCGCGCTCTCGAGCTGCTTCGTCTTCCCGAACACCCTGTCATACTCAACAGACTCCCGCTTGAAGATGGCGTCGGGCTCGTGCAACCAGAAGAACTCGTTCGCGGCCTCCCACGTGCGCACCCCGTGCACCGTGCGCTCCTCTCCGACGACGCCACCGAAATTCAACCCCAGCCTCGCCGCGATGGCCATCCCGCATATGATGTGTCGGCACGACCGAAGCGGGCACGCGAAAATGGGTACGATGCCCAACAAAAAACTGTCCAACTCCAGCACTGGCCGCTCTTGGGCAAGCCAGCTTGCTGTCTTGAGATGGACAACGCTCCCGGCGACACCAGCAGCGAGCCCTGCCTGGGGGGTCCTGGTGGGGAGGTGAAGGAGGAGAAGAAGGAGGAGGACGAGGACGAGGACGAGGAGGAGGAGGAGGACGAGGAGGAGGAGGAGGAGGAGGAGGGGGAGGAGGAGCTCATAATGGACCACAGCTGCTGTCGATCTTCGCCCCCAGTCTCTGGCCGACTCTGGGCACCCCGAGCCCAAACATGCTAGAAGGGGCCCAGAGACAAACAAAGAAATGCACACATACCCCAGGATTCCCCACGTTTGTTCCATTGCTTCTTTTGTTGTGGATTTGCGTCTCCCCCCCCCCACTCCCCATAATTTCTCATGTGTTCTGGGGAATCGACGATTCACTGTGTCTGTGTGTTTTTTCCCTTCCCGACGAACATGTCGACGTCTCGCTCCGACTTCCGCCCGCGGCGCCGCCGCCGTGCCACCTCCGCCGGCCTCCGCCTCGAGGGCGAGCCGCGCCGGAGGCGCCACGGCCCGTCTCGGTGCTGCCGGCTGTTGATCACCTGCAGGGGGGCCACAGGCGAACCCTACCCCCCACCCCCCACGATTTCTGAGGGGGAGGGGGGGGTGCACTTCGCTCGAGAGCTCCCGAGCGAAGTGAACCCCACCCTCCCCATTCAAAAATCGTGGGGGGTGGGGGGCAGGGTTCGCCTGTGGCCCCCGAACCTGGGCGCCGAGGCCGTCCAGTCGGGTGCTGATGAAGAGGAGGGCGGCGCCGTCCCGACCGAGTGCGCAGACGCTGCACCCGGCTCCGCGGGGCGGCCTCGGCGGGCTCCCCGGCGCGGGCAGCTCGGGCAGCGCGCCTTCCGTGGTCGACGGCGCCTGCGGCCATGGCCTGCCTGCCCCGCTATAGGCTTACAGAGCAGGCCGGCCTGCGGCCATCAAGGGGATCGGGACGAGCGGAGGGTGGCATTCGTGGCAGCTGCGGCCCTCACGAGATCACCGACCTCACGTGGTCACTGACTTCGGCTGCAGCTACCACTCTAAATGTTGAGTCCTGTCTAGCCAGACACGCACACACACACACACACACGCTCGCACGCAAGCACACGCACTTACTAAATACATTACATCTAAGACTCAACTTCAGCTGAATATCCATCCGTCACGCCCACTTCATATATCTACGTTTCCCGCTCTGACTTTCTCGCTCTTCGTGGCCAGTGTTTCTTCATATGTCAGATCAGTTCTCGCTCTAGCTGCGGCGGGCCTGAAATGTGTCTTACATGCTCCCCGCCAGGTTGGATCTTAATTCTAAGCCAAGCCCAACCGACCAGTATGTGCCCAACTCATATCTTATCAACTCCAGGGGCATGTCTTGCGTGCTCCTCAGCCTGGGTGGACGTATATCCTGAGCGTATTTTGCCGTAGTTGTTGTCGGGAAGTTGAGGGCACGACCACTGACTGCGTGAGACCACCAGCATGTGTGGTTCGCTGTATTTTAACATAGTGTTTGGGGTGAATGGTTTGCCTCGCTGTCGGCGGCACGGTCTGCTGTAGTAGCTGTGGGCATCTATTATCACTAGCTTCAGCTTTACTCGGCACCTGGCCTTCCGAATGCCTTGAACATCTCCGCAAATATTCGCTGCCGAATCTTTGTATCCTTTGCTACGGCTCTAGCTCTATCTAGATGCGGCTGCAGCTTCAGCTTTAGATTGACCTGGCTAGGATGATTCGCGGCTGTTTCATCCACTTGTTTCTCATCGTGGTGCAGCCACATATCTGTCTGTGCCCCTTTTTGTATGTGCTCTGCCGTCCCAGATTGAACTATAGTGTTTGCACATGTTTAAAACGTGGCGTTAGCTCCAGCATGGGTACGGGCGCAACTGATATAGCTTACCACCTGCAGGATGCAACTTGCACTTGGCGGCACCTTAACTTAGCGTGCAAGCAAATTGAGAAACAAGTGCAATTGCACTAGTAGTTCCATTCGTGCCCAATTCTACATAGGAGTGGCATGAGCATCAATCGTCGCAGTCAGCGTGCTCTGTAGATTTAGATCTGTACGTCTCCATAGAGCTGCATATCAGCCACCGTGACGCAGGTTCCCCCTCGTGGGCTCCTCTTGGGGCCGTCTTGGAGCCCTCTTGGGCCGTCTTGGGCGACTCCTGAGCCGCGGCCCCGGATGGGGAATACAAATTAGCATGTTGAGCCCTCCGCCCGAAGATGGCCCCAAGATGCCCCCCGCAAGCCCCCGAGGTGCGACTAAGCAGGGCCCCAAGAGTTCCCCAAGAGGCCCCGAGATGCCCAAACAAGGCCCCAAGAGGCCCCCAAGACGCCCCAAGGCACCCCCATGCCCGCCTCCAAGAGGCATCCGAGAGGCCTCCCAAGAAACCCTCACAGGCATCCACGAGGCCTCTGACCTACAACCCAGGCACAATGGCGATCTGGGCCGAGGGCCACTAGATACAGGCGATGCTTCCACCCTTAGTTCTACATTCGGGTGGGAAGTTTGAGCAACCATGACTGCCGCGTGGGCGTTGCCTTGCCTTTGGCCTGGGTTCTGACACCACGGCACCGAGCGCAGCGGCAAGCATGCGCAAATGAGGAGGTTATGATTGAGGTGGGATGCCTATCGATGTGTTACTGGGCACTTCCTGCGCAGAAAGTGCATATAGAACACCATGCCTGGCCACGGCCAGGTTTGGTGGTGACGTGCAGTCTGAAGATTGTACATGCTGTGTCAGCATTTCTGCTCGCTTGAGCTTCGATGTGGTTGTTTGCTTTCGCGCTAGCTGAGCTACACACACATTTTTCGCTTATCTCTAACGCTGGCTGTCGCCGTTGCGTCAGCAGTGTCTTTAGCTCTGATGAACGAGCGTAGCTCCGTGTCGCATTCAGATACAACTCTGGTTATAGCTCCAGCTCCAGCTATGTATGTGTAGAGCAGTGGCTCTGACTTTAGATTTAGTTTTCAGCGTGGTGATCGCGTAGATTTGGCCCTACCTTCAGCTTGAGCTGGAACGTCAGCTCTAGCTTTAGTACCAGACACATCATATGTGAGCTGGGGGCAAGATTCTAGCTAGCTTCAGCTACGTCAGCCTGAGCATTTGGATAGCTGTGCGTCTGGCCTGTCGAAAATGTAGTAGGTATACTTCGTAGCTTTAGCTTCAGCTTTGTCTTCGACTTAACAGTACTTGTAGCATTGCATTTACTGAGCTGGTCTGCCGCATCATGGTCAAACTTAGAAACGACAGCTGGGCGAACCCCAATCGTGACACACATCTTGTTCTTGATATCTTGGACATGGAACTCGGGTTGGCTTGATGCTTGCGTTTGCAATGGCGCTAGCTTTTGCAATTCGCTTCAGCCTGAGCTGGGATGTCGGATTCAGCTTTCTGTGGCAATTCAGCTCTAGCCCTAGCGCTGGGATCATGAAGAAATGCGTGCGGCAGGGGGGGCGTTCTTTTCCGACGGCGCCGGAGGGCTCGCGCTCGCAACGCAAGCGAAACGCTGTCCTCTGTGGATGTAGCCCGACCCCTCGCACCACGAAGCCACGGCACAGTGACACCACGCTACAAAAGCATATCCACACAGCGGCACCCCGACACCGCGACACCACCCCGTCACCCGCCAGACCACCGCGGCACCAGGACACCCGGCCCGCCGTATGCCAGCAGAAGGTGCAGGACGTTCTGGCAACTGGCGGCCCACGACACCACAGCTTCGCACGCGCGTCACGCGCAGAGCGAGACAAGACACAACGTGCACTTTCCAGTGGGGGCGGCCTCGCAGAGGGGATCCCAGGAACGGCCAGACCTCTGCTAGACCATCAGACGGTCCAGATTCTACCAATCTGCCAATCTGTGCCGATCCCTCGCCTCCGCAGGGCCTGCTCGCTCCCGGGTCCCGCTGCTGCTAGCGGGGCACGATGGGCATCATGGGCATGCCTGGCTCTGGAAGCGGACCACCGCGGGAAGCGTGCTCGCGTACCCCGACGCCTGCCACTCCTCTTCTGCGCGGATGCGGAAGTAGATGGCCGAGCCGAGCAGGGTGGACGCTCCCACGTACAGCAGCACCTTCAGCCGCTTGAGCATGCCGCGCCAGCTCTGCCGCCGCAATACCGCGGGGCATGCGCCGTCCTCCAGGAGGGGGGGGGGGGGGGCAGGAGGGGGGGGGGGCGGGGGTTGGGAGAGCGTGGCGCGGCGGAACTGCTGTAGGTCCCCCGCGCTCGTGGATGAGAGCGAGCGGGCGCGAGCCTCGTCGGCGGGCGCGGGCGGGTGCGCCCGAGTGGCGTGCTCGAAAGGCAGCGCCGAAGAGCAATGTGCACGAGTCGTCGGCGGGTAGTTGGCCCCCTCTCAGAGCAATGCGGACGAGCCGTCTGCGGGCTACAGATGGGGCTCGACCACAAGAAACCTTCCACGAGAAACCCAGCCCTGAGTCCCCAGCACGTCCACTGATCGCTGGTAGGGGAACGTCGCGCCTTCCATCGCAAATCCATCGAAGCCCAAGCAACCCGGGGCACCCTGGAGGCAAGCAGGGTGCTTCTTGGCATGGGCCTCTACTGTACCGACGGGTCGCGCGGCCATGGGCACACAGTGGCGCCTCCCAGACCGATACCAACGCCGGCGGCGCGCGCTGGGGGGTGGAGCGAAGGGGGCGGCCTTCCAAGAGGGCTGGAGAGGCTTCCTAGACTTAGGTCGGGCCTGTCCCCCTACAGGGGGATTTTGGACGAAAAATTAAGAATACCCCACAAATACTCAAAATTGCCAAAAATAGCAAAAACATCGTCCCCATACGATTTGTTTACTATTTTTGAATATTCCTCCTGTAGAGGGACAGGCCCGACTTGATCCTAGACTGAGCTGCCCCGACACGCAAAACACGCACCACGCAACACGCAGCGTGTTGATACGGGGCTCAGCACGCCGACTGAAGACGCGGGCCTGTCGCGATGCGTTCGCCCAAGAAGTGGGCCAGCTCGTGGAGCCAACCTTTTCCCTCGGCGGCGAGGCAGAGACGCTGCTCCCGCGGGCGGCGATGCGGGGCGACCGATGCGCGAAGTGGCCGGCGTGCCAGCGGGGGCTTCGTCGAGTCAACACGCAACGTGTTGACAAGGACGTCTTGAGCACGGTGCGTGCCGCGTCCCAGAAGTGGGCGCTTGGAGGCAGCCACGCTCCTGGCAGCAAGGCGCCTGCTTGGCAGGGCCCGAGGGCTGCCGAGGAGCCCCCCCGCCTTCTCCGAGAGCTCCGCCCCCCCCACGCCGCCCCCCCGGCGCGCGCCGCCAGGCAAAAGAGCCCGCCGTTGGCGCGGATGTGTGTCGAGCCTGCCTGGGCAGATCGCATCGGCGGGCCGCGCTGGCGTAGGCACTGGAGTACCACGTGGGGCCTGCTCCAGAGCAGGGACATACCGTAGACGGATCTGCCCTCTCTCCGACCTGGCACCGCGCCAGGCGCAACGGCCACATTGTCCATAGACGCATCCGCCCTGGAAGTGTCTCTGGAAGTGTTCCTGGACGCTGTTGGCTAGGACGTGAGAACGGTATTTGGCATCGGCCCCAGATGTTGTGGTCTCTTAGAAGCAGGTACATAAGAAGAAAACACGTCACAACCACAAACTTTTGGCGCTCCGCGCGAACTTCTTAGATCTGCGCTGGACCCCCCTCCCTGGCGCGCAGAGCGCGCCAGGGGCGGCGCCGGAGGCGGCGACGGGGGGGCCCAGCCCGGATCCAAGAAATCTGCGCGGAGCGCCACAAGTTTATGCTTGTGGCGATGCTCCGTGTTTCTTCTTCGAAGGTAGGCTTGTCGGCTACACGTAAGAGTGACCCTGGGTAAGAGTGACCTTTGGTGCGCGGCAAAACGGGGGACGCGGGGTGGCCAAACCTGGGCGCGCAAGCCGCTGCTACCGCTTCGCGCTCAGCGATCGGGAGACCCCATTGGGCCCGCACCAAAGGTCACTCCGGCGAAAGGTCACTCTTACGTGTAGTCGAGCTTGGCCCTCCGACGTAGGCACATGCCCGGTCTGCTCGAGGCGACGGTGCCGTCAGAGAAACCAGCGTGGCCGGCCTCGCCCCCGGCAGCAGCCCCTCTCGAGGAGAGGCGGGGGGCAGCCACGGCCACCGCCTGGGGGGTCGATCGTGGGGGGCCTCGGCAGGCAACGAGTATGGATATATCTGCCACTCCCCTCGAGGGCCCGACCATATAGGTATATGAATATATGTATATCTGTGTATATGTTAATATAGAACGATATACACGCATTCATACATATACAATATACAACACACCATATATATATATATATATATATAGTCATTATATATATATATATATATCCGCCGCCTGCCGAGCAGGCCCCGAGGATCGATGCCCCAAGTGGTGGTTCTCAAAACCTTGGAACACACACTCGCACCAATCTGCGGAGGCCCGCGCGGACGCATCCGATCGGCGCTGGACTCCCTAACACCTCGCGCGCGGAGCGCGCCAGAGACGCTGCCAGAGGCACCGCCAGGGGGGCCGAGTGCAAATCGTATAACTCTGCGCGGGCCTCGGAGAATTCCTGGTGAGCGTTTTCTTATTCGGCGTCTGTCTCTGGACCTCTGCTCAGTGCGACTGTTTGCGACAGTGCGTCCTACGAGGGGGGGGAGGGGAGGGGGTCTGTCTCTGGACCTCTGCTCAGTGCGACTGTTTGCGACAGTGCGTCCTACGAGGGGAGGCTCTACCTGCTCGAAACGGGCGCCCAAAACAGCCAAGATCTGCTCCACAGGGCGGGTGGAGGTGGGGTGCGAGGGCCCGCGCCGATCGGCAGAACAATGAAGTCATGTTTGTCCGCTTTTCCTTCTCCTCCTCGCTCCTCCTCGCTCCTCCTCCTCCTCGCTCCTCGCTCCTCCTCCTCCTCCTCCTCCTCCTCCTCCTCCTCCTCCTCCTCCTCCTCCTCCTCCTCCTCTATCCTCCTCCTCCTCCTCCTCCTCTTCCTCCTCCTCCTCCTCCTCCTCCTCCTCCTCCTCCATTCTCCTCCTCCTCCTCCTCCTCCTCCTCCTGGGCACTGGGCTCGAGGCCGCTGGTCCTCGCACACCGCGGCGTGCTGCGCAACTGCATGACGGGGGTGCGCCACGGCTGGGGGGGCAGCCTGGGCACCCCGCGCGGCGCGCGGGCGGCGGCCTGGCTCTGACCGCCAGCATGACGGGGCCGATGGCCACGGCCGCGGCGTCGAGGTGGCGGGGCTCGGAAACCCTGGCACCAAAAACGAATTCATCTCCTGGGGGGGGATCTTTAACTTCCGCCGCCTTCCGCCGAGCTTCCACACACACGCGCACTACCCCCAATGATCCTTCGGCGCAGGAGGTCTCGTGAGGGGCTCTAAACTACCGTGCGAACGGCGCTGGTATGGGCACTATGCTAAACCAAAAGCCCGACGAAGAGCGAGCAAAGGCAGGTGGGTATCTTCGTGCCCGCCGGCTTCCGCCGGCGAAGGCGGCCTCAATTTACTTCCGCCGACCTTCCGCCGCCCTTCCGCCGCGGAAGAGATGACAATTCTTCCTATCCTCGAGGACAAGGCCCTTTTCGGACCGCCCCAGGTGTCGAAGGGGCCGACGGCGGCAGAGCTGGTGGCGCTGGCGACGATCGCTCGATCGGCGGGTCGGGTTCGGAAAGTGATCTGCCCCGCTCCTCCACGGCTCTCCCGTGGCCCGCGCCTCCACTGGCACTCCTCCTCCTCCTCCTCCTCCTCCTCCTCCTCCTCCTCCTCCACTGGCACTCTCGTCGCCTCCTCGTGCCGATGCTCCCCTGCCACATTGAACACACAGGAAAGGCTCCAGGTCCCAGAGGCATGTGGCCGCGCGGTTGCACGTCCAATCACAAACCTTGAGGCCGCAGTACACCGCAGGCAAAGCAGAGCGGGGAAAGCAGGAGCAGGAGGAAGCTGAGGAGAAAGGGCGGGGAGGATGAGGAGGTGGATGGAGGATGGATTGGGACGAGAAGGGAGGAAGAGGAGAGAGGAGGAGAGACGAGGGGACGGGGAGGCGCAGGGAGGACGGAGAAAAGGAGGAGGAGGAGGAGGCGGGGGGGCAGAACACACGCGTGCGACCCCCACACGCCCCCCTTAGAAGAAGAAGAAGAAGAAGAAAAAGAAGAAGAAGAAAAAAAAGAAAAAACAAACAATACGGTATAAACAAACGCCTTCGACGTTCCGCGCGGATTTCTGGGATGTGCGCCGGACCCCCCTCCCTGGCGCGCTCCGCGCGCCAGGGACGGCGCCGGAGGCGCCGCCAGGGCGCTCCAGCGCAGATCCCACCCAGAACAGCGCTTCGTGGCTCCACAGGGAGCTTCACCGAAGGCCCCAGAGACTGCGCTCGCAGGCGGTTCCCCCACCCAGAACAGCGCCTCTTGACCCCCTAGGGGGCTAGCTGAAAACCACGCAGAGCGTCGAAAGTTCAGGCTTCTGGCATTTCATTTTCTGCTTCGACCCCTGCGGCTGCACCCCGAGAAGTGCGGCCCGCAGACCCCTGGCCTGCAGCCTCTGGGGCCACGACGTGAGCCTCGGAGGCGCCCAAGGAGGAGGAGGAGGAGGAGGAGGAGGAGGAGGAGGAGGAGGAGGAGGAGGATGAG